GTTCCGACTCGATGGCACCTGACAACAACAACAACAATCCTTCTTTGTTTCCAACCTTTGCATTCCAATCACCAGTGATTATCAACATATCTTGATAGCATGTTTGATCAATTTCAGATTGAAGAAGTTGGTAGAATTCTTCTATTTCCTCCTCACTAACTTTAGTGGTTGGTGTGTAAATTTGAATAATAGTGGTATTAACTGGTCTTCCCTGTAGGTGCATGGATATCATCCTATCACAGACAGCATTGTACCTCATGACAAATCTTGATATGTTCTTTTTGACGATAAATGCAATGCCGTTTCTTTTCAATTTATCATTCCCAGCATAGTAAACCATGGGATTGTCAGATTCAAAATGGCCAATACCAGTTCATTTCAGCTCACTAATGCCTAGGATATCGATATTTATGCATTTCATTTTTGACAATTTCCAATTTTCCTAGATTCATACTTTGTACATTCCATGTTCTGATTATTAATGAATGTTTACAGCTATTTCTCTTCATTTTGAGTTGTGCCATCAGCAAATGAAGGTCCTGAGGGCTTTAGTCCATTTGTGTCATCATGGTCAGCTGTATCTTGAGGATACAGTCGTATTTTGAGTGCCTTCCAATCTGATGGGCTCATTTTCCAGCATTATATCTGACAGTGTTTCTCTGCTATTCATGTAGTTATTTATTTAATGTTGTATATAAATATGGATTCATAGGTATTTCGTTCATTCTATAAGTTACAATTTGTGACTTTCATGATCTTGTTATTCAAATGACCCTTTAGCTCCAACTCCAACTCTTGAAGTCAACGCTTTTGTTGTTTTGATAAGGTTTCATCATTTTTGAGAACTCCTTAATTTCTAGTTTGCATTATGTTTTAGATTCATCTTGTTCTTACCATGTCCTGGTCCTTCAATCAGTCATTTGTCCAAGGAGCTCTGGTTTCTTTCATTGGAGAATGATATTCAGAAACCAAGACCAGGATACCAGATGTGTTCGTTGCTACTGGAATATCAATACTGCTAAGCCCTCTCAGTGGACAGAGCTCAGAAACACACACACATATGAGTAAGAATCGACTCGATGGCACCTAATGACAACAATGCACTGCTGGTGTGGCTCTGTAGGATAAGCACTGTACTGCAAACTACAAGGTTGGTGGTTGAAACCCTACCGGTCGCTACTGGTAAACCTTGTATAGGGTTACTATGCATGAGTCAGAACCGATTCTATAGCACTTAACTTAATGGTTGTAAGTAAAGTGGTATCTCGTTTGAATTTGCATTTCCCTGGCAACTAATGATGTTGAACACCTTTTCATGTGCTTATAGAACTGGAGAACAGGAGAGAAGTCTGGGCAGTAAGTATTGGAGGAATCAGTATGATGGGAATGGACAAATTGCCCAAGAAGAAGAAAAGCTGCCTAATTTGGTAGTGGTGGGTGTGTGCTGTTGAGTGGTTCCAACTCATGGCAACCCTGTATAGGGTTGTGGAGGCTGTAACAGAAAGCCTCATCTTTCTCACATGGAGTGACTGGTAGATTCGAACTGCTTGCCTTGTGGTTAGCAGCCTGATGCATAATCCACTATGCCACAAAAATTTGAAAAATTCCAATGTTTAAGGGATGATGAAGAAAATGACGTAAAGCAGAAATAGTGTTCAGATACAGAGGAGGAGATGCCAAGGAGAAATTATCAAGGAGGTGTCAAAACACAAACACATGTCTTGTGAGGCAAGAAAATGAGACCATTGGATCTGGCATTTGGAGTATCATTGCAACCTTTCGCAGAACATGTAGGTTGGATGTAGGTTGAGGAAGTGGAGACAGGGACAGACTCCTCTTCAAAAATATTACACACTAAAATCAAGGAGACAAATTATACATAGACATAAAAGAATGAACCAACAGAAGAGCTGTAGAAAGCGGATGTAATCAGGTGCTAAATTAGTCTTATCAGTCACTTTGGGGAATGTAGAGCTTGCCTTGTGGCTGTAGTTCTAAATTCTGGCCACAAGGTGTCAGGTGCTGATTATGTTTCCTGCACTCAAGAGCCAGAAACCCAGACTGAGCTCAGTTTTGAGTGGAAAAGGAATGCACAAACTCAACAAACACATGGGCTACAGCTTCTGACAGAACAGATCGTGTCCACTTCTCCGGTGTTGCAGAAGGGGGCCGAGCTCACTTTCTGTGATGCTGAGCTCCCTAGGTATGAGCACTAATCAGCACCTCTGGTTTGGCTGTCCTTCATCTTCAGTTTTAGGAACAGCAAAGATATGGCCCATGGAGGAAGAAATGACAAATCCCATAACTTCTCTAACATCTCAACATTTAACATTTTGATCTGGCACACACTGTGTCATTCTTGCTTCAATTTCCTGGTTCCCAGTCAGCTCTAGCTCCTCTTTCCTCTCCCGGCCACCTCTAAGCTGCTTCCACCCAAAAAGTTGGGAGAACAAAAAACGAAAGTTCTTACCCATCCTTATCAAGTAGTATGACCTTGTGTACATTATTACACATGCAAGGGCTAAGGTTGAAGCGATGGATGAAAAGTAACATTTGCCATCCAGGCAATTCTGACTTATGTTTGGTGTGTAATTGTGATCCATAGGATTTGCAAACCTGTGAAGGATCAGAAGCATATCACCAGGCCTTTCTTCCAACGTGTCTCTGGGTGGGGTTGAACTATCAACCTTTTAGTTAGTTGTGGAGTCCTTAACTGTTTTCTCCACCTACAGATTCCCGATGTGGAGTGGTGTCGAAGTTGCAGCAGTAAATGGGGTTGTCTTTCTCTTCGATCGCTAACTATAAGCTGGAAGATGCCTTCTGTGTTCAGCTGAGACTACTGTGTGTATCCCTTTGGAGAAGTTAGGTTGCCTTTTCTTGGTATTTAAAAGGGGTCAGGAAAGAAGTCACTGGTATTCACATCTCTCAAGGCCTCAGGTAGGAGGTCTGTGGCTTCTGACCAACAATAACGTTATGACCTTGTGGCCCATTTTGGATGCCTCTAACCGATACTGTGACAAGAGTCCCCTTCTATAGTGGAAGTGGAAATTCCGGTCTTACCCTGTATTAACCCTAAAAAGAAATGCTGTTCTTTCATTGCCAGGGCTGCTTGAGTGCACAGAAACCAACTTTCTCATCCCCATTTTGTGAATTCGGTAACTGAAGCGAGGACTTCTGGGATTCCGTAACAAGAACTTCCAACTCAATGCTATGAGCATACCATGTGTTGTGTCATCGCTGGGGACTAGGGGAGAGGCAAAGACAGGGTCTGACCCAGAAGGCAGCAGTCCCAGGGGCTGGGAAATGGCGCCAGCAAAGGAAGGTGGGTGTCAGACCAGGAGACTGGGGGAGCAGCGCTGACAGTCTGGATTGGCTGATAGTTCTACGAAAGTTTCTGAAGAAGGAGGGGGAGCTCCCATCCGTCCGCACAGCAAAGGTGCAGGCATTTTAAGGGTTAACAGCACCCAAAGAAAATAGAAGTTGGAGGAGGAAGTGGGGTGCTCGGTTGCAGTGAGAGAAGGAAGCAGGGCGTCGCAGCTTCCCTTTTCTCCTCCTTCCCCGAAGCCCCCACCCCAAGCCGCACCCCCGCTCCGCCCACCCCTCCTGTGGGGTCACAGCCACGCTTCCGCTCGCCTGGCCAACCTCGCTTTACTTTGGGGGACAGGGAGGTTTCTGGTGAACAAGTTGGCGGCCCTCTGGTTAAACTCGCCCGCCCGCCAGGGTCTGTTCCTTGCAAGGACAGACGTGTGGAGAGCTGGGGACTCCCGAGACGCCTGCGGGCTCCTAGGCGTGACACGCAGGATTCGTGGCCCTGTCTGCAACTGGCTGACATTGCCCAGCCACCAGGTGGCGTGGACGAGCGGCCTGGGCGGTCCAGGCCCCACCCCTTAGGTGGTGCCTGCCCCGCCCGGCTCGCCGGGCCCGTGGAGGGGCGGGGCTTGAGCAGATGCCGGGACTTGGCGAGAGGCTACAACCCCGGCGCGGTGTTCGCGACTGTAACCAGATTTGCAGAGGTAGTCGCCTCTGGAGAGGGGCTCGGCGCCCGGCGAGGACTACAGGTGTGTGGCTGGGTGATGGGCGGGCGCCGAGCGCACGGGTAGGGGCTCAGAACAGAGAGGAACAGTGTGGGGACCGTCGGGGGACAGTGGGCGCTGACAGGAGCGGATGCCTGGATAGCTGGGCTGATCTTGCAGTCTTACGACTCGGTGGGGAAAGTCAGTAAACCGCGACCCCCGGGATTCCGGACGCAGAGGGGTGTCCCAAGGTCGGTAAGGCTCGTGCATCGTTATCTAGGTAGCCCCAGCTGGCGCCTTTATGCGGCCTGAAGGTGTCCGGCGCCTCCTGCCTCCTCTGACAGTGGAAACGCTTGGCGAGTTTTGGCATCAGAGGTCTTTTGCCATCTGTGGAAGTGCCTGCCTGGCGGTCCCCGTTGGGCCTCAGCCTGCACCCTCTAGTGAATGTGGGGCCTCACGAGCGTGGCCGTCGTGGTGGAGACGTGCACGCTATGCGCTGTCAGGGGGTCTATGTGTGCACGCGAGCGCTCTGGCCGGCCCCAGAGCTGGGGTAAATAAGCAAGGAATTCAGGTCAGTAGGAAGAAGGTGATTGTTCTATGGGACAAGGAAGGCGAGATGAAAGCAGCAGGAAGTGGCACCAAGTGAGTTAACAAGCCTCTGTGCTGAGAGCAGCAGTGGGTTTGGGTAAAACGAGAGCTGAAAGTAGGCCAAGTCAACCTCCAAGGTCCCTCCGGATTGTGGTTCTCTCCGCCTTCCTCAAGGAGCTCTAGTAGCGTAGTGGTTACGAATTGGGCTGCGAACGAATTGGGCTGCAAACCCCAAGGTCAGCAGTTCGAAACTACCAGCTGTTCCGCGGGAGAAAGATGAGGCGTTCTGCTCCCGTAAAGATTTACAGCCTCGGAAACCCTCTTCTGTGTCACTGTGAGTGGGAACCGACTCCACGGCACGCCACCACCTCCTTCCTCAGCCCTCGGGACCACCTGTTTAGAATCTGGTTCCCAGAATTAATTGCACCTGCTGCTTTCCCAGAGTGCTTATCAAAACACCCACTCTCCATGCCCTCACCTGCAGCACAGCTTTCCAGGAAAAGGGCCTGCGATCTCTATTTTTCTAAATTAGTAATAAGTTTCTTATGTGATGATGCCAGAGCCAGTGCTTGGGAAGCGTATGCTATATGAAAAAGAGACCTGCATTCCATCCAGGTCTAGCTGTGTGACCTTCAGCATCTTACCTTGTCCCACCCTTGTCTGTAAAATGGCCTTTCATGCTTACCTCTCCTGGGCTGAGTGAGAAATCAAATGTGTTGGAATTGGCTGCACATGTGTCTGCTCTGTGGCTGTGTGTAGAACTGAGGGACAGTAAGGGCATGTTTACTTCCTCAGTGTGAACACTGTGTTGCAGTTGTTACCTCAGGGGTTGTGGAAGACAAAGACCACTGGGATGGTCCAACTCCTTCTTCTTGCTTCACTTCTCTGCTTTGCGAAGCATAAATTGTCGTAACTGTGAGGCAAGACGTCTTGGTGTGTTAGTGTGTTACAGGGCCTTATTTGGGTTTTCCAACCAGTCAGTTGCTATGAAGTTGTCTCTGGCTCATGGTGACCTCATGCATGTCAGAACAGAAGCAGAACTGTGCTCCATACCCAGTGGCTGATTTTTCAGAAACAGATCAACTGTCAAGCCTTTCTTCCGAAGTGCCTCTGGGTGGACTTGAACCTCCAGCCTTTTGGTTAGTGACTGAGCATGTTAACCATTTGCACCACCGAGGGCCTCCCATTGGGGTTTTAAGAGCCTTCCCCTTATTTCCAGTTTAGGTGGGAGATGATTATCTCCCCTTCCCAAGCTGCTGTGGAAGCAGACCACCTCTGCCTTCCTCCTTGTTTTGTTTTTTTCAAGTATACTACGGTAGAAGGAGCTCTAGTAGCGTAGTGGTTACGAATCGGGCTGCGAACCTTAAGGTCAGCGGTTCGAAACTACCAGCCGCTCCGCGGGAGAAAGATGAG